AAATCTGAAGCACGTGGCATGCATTTGTTTTTTATTCTTCTTAAGTCAATACTCCAAACAGTCATTATAGGGTAGGTCTATCAACTTTGCACACTTAGTAACTAAAATTGTTTAATTTTATTCTTTGCAAACTAACATGAAATCAGTTATGTTAGCAAGAGACTGTGTGCTAACATTCATTTTCATGTTTTACTAGAAAATGTTCTAAATCAGTTTTAGATCAAGGACACTGAAACCAGTTGCTGAAACACATAAATTCTCGGTTTAATAGTAGTTCTGGCTGTATGTAAAGAGCTGTTGTCTGGTAGGAAGTTAAGTATTTTCCCCACTCTCAAGTATTTTGCTGCTTCTATTAAATTTTATGCAGTTTCCTAGTGTATTGCTTTGCCTATCCTCTTATGAGTTCTGATCAAATCCCCTGTTCTGGCGAAATAAAGCCTCTCCACAGCCTGATGCTGACACCACCATGCTTCACCATGGGGATGGTGTGTGCGCTAGCAGAGGGGAATTTTTTTTCCTAATATAGCAATATATCTACTTCTCTTTACTAAACAGATATGTGTATTACACAACAAATAGCTGTCATGTCAACACCCAGGCAGTGGATCTCTGCAGCTGCCCCAAATGGCCAAGGGGCTCTTGGCTCCTGCTCTGATTAGTGCTTTCAACTTCTTCAGATGTTTCTTCCTGGCCTGCCTGTTGTGCTCCTTTGGATTCACAATGCTGTTTGTTCACTTAACATTTCCAAGGAACCTCTGAAAAATTCAAAGAACAGCTTGAATTGATGAAAACACATTCCTATAGACTTCTATTTGTTAATTACGCAACGTCTGTCGGAAGTTGGTTTTACTGATTTTTTTTTCTACAGGGGTATCAAAGTTAAAGAGACACAATAAAGTTTGTTTAAGAAAAAAAATGACAATCATATTGATTTATTACAAAAAAAAAATGCTATTCAAATATATTAAAGTTTGTGGTTTCATCGTGACTAATTGTGCAGTGACTCCTGGGTTCATATGCATTTGCAACATTCGTGAAATAACCCTCCCTCTGAGGGATTCCCATTAACAAACAGCTCAACAATACCTTTTAGATGCTTGTTTTATTCACACAGTAAAGCAGAAAATGTGCTGATCTCTAATCATTTTAAAAGCTGCACACGCCCCTTTTAGACTGCCATAGCCGCAATAGTCGATAACAGGAAAGAAGGGTTAGAATGGATTTACCACTCATAAATGTACCAGAATGTTTCGTTAAAGCACAGAAAATTTGCTCAACAGTCAGCTTTAAGTGGAACAGCATGTTTCACCGAGGTAAAATCCCTTTATATATTGACTTTTGTAAATGTAATTTGCAATTGTAACATGTTAAAGCCGTTTTCACTATAAATAGAACTGTAAAAATAAATGCATTTAAACCAATCTTAATAATGTACAAGTAGCCTACTGTGTTTATATTATATCTTTAGTAAAATTCTATAGTGAGGAAGTGTCCTTGTGCTATTGTGATATTTTGTGAAAGGAAGAAAGAAAGAAATAATGAATGATAAGAAAGAAAGAGTTTACAATTGCCTTTATTACAAAATCCAGCAATCAATAAAACAAAATAAAGTTAATAAAATAAAAACATCAAAAAGGAGAAAACTAAAGATCCTTCATCCACTGAACACCATAAACGTCC